GTGCCACTGGGGAGCGCGAAACATGCTGGCGTAAACGCGGCGTGTCGCTGGTGAGCGGGGTGATTCGCTGTCTCATGTGATATGTGTGCTTCTAGTGTGTGGACAGACCGTGTGGCCAAAGTACGTTCATGATGTCGCAGTGCCGGGAGCGCGAAACATGCTGGCGTAAACGCGGCGTGTCGCTGGTGAGCGGGATCACTGTGGTACCAAGAGTGTCCCAAAAGAGTGCCCCGCAAGAGCTTCCTAGACAAGAGTGACCCACAAGAGTGTCCTACAAGACGGCGTGTCGCTGGTGAGAGGGATGATTGGTGGTATTACGTGATATGTTTGCTTCTAGTATGTGGCGGACCTCTTCAGCGTTGTGCTGACACAGCGAGAAATGCACCAAGGTTGGCGCTCCTGAGCCACAACGTTGCGCTGCCGTTTCATCTGCACATCGACGTCTACACCCCCTCACCTCTGTACACGCACAGACATAGATACACACATAGACACACACACACAGAGACCCACACACTTACTCAACACACTAGACTTAACACTTCACACTTAACACTTAACACACAACTCACATGCTAACTTCACACGTGGTGAAAATGCTTTCGGGCCACTCGTCGTCTAGTATATATGTTTATATCGTTTTGGTGATTTGTAGCGAGACTTCTCACCCTTCCCCTGCCGCCCAAGTGCGAGGCAAACAGCTTCGCGATTTGCTCCCCATCATCGAGGCTCGGATTCGACAGTCGAGGCTCCGGTGCTGCTTCAGAGCTTTGAAGCTTCGGCGGCAACGGCGCCGATTCGCTCTGACTCTGGGTTGCTTGGTTTATTTGGGGGGGTTGGGCCTCACTATGCGCTGCTTGCATTGAAGTTGAGGTCAAAGTAGGTGGAGTTGGAGCTGGCTGGCTGGATGTAGGAGTTGCAGGAGGAGTGGGTTGTGGCGGAGGGATTGGGCATGGTGTCTCAGGACTCTCTATGGGGACCGGGTCATTGGCTGAGTACTGAGGTTTTGGGGGTGGGGGAGGGAAGTCACACCACCCTCCTTCTGGAGGTGGTGGAGGTGGTGGAGGCGGCGCATCTACGTCATCATCCTCACGCTGAGGTTGGGCCGACAGTAAGAAAGCACTTACAGGTGCCTTTGGACCAGGTGGTGGGCCACTCAGGGCAGCACCAACTGTCACCGTTGTTGTTGGCCGGGGTCCAGTAGGCGCTTTGGGACCAGGTGGTGGGCCACTCAGGGCAGCACCAACTGTCACCGTTGTTGTTGGCCGGGGTCCAGTAGGCGCTTTGGGACCAGGTGGTGGGCCACTCAGTGCAGCGCCAACTGTCATCGTTCCGGTTGGTGCTTTGGGACCAGGTGGTGGGCCACTCAGGGCAGCACCGACTGTCATCGTTCCTGTTGGTGCTTTGGGACCAGGTGGTGGGCCACTCAGGGCAGCACCGACTGTCATCGTTCCTGTTGGTGCTTTGGGACCAGGTGGTGGGCCACTCAGTGCAGCGCCAACTGTCATCGTTCCTGTTGGTGCTTTGGGACCAGGTGGTGGGCCACTCAGGGCAGCACCAACTGTCATCGTTCCTGTTGGCGCTTTGGGACCAGGTGGTGGGCCACTCAGGGCAGCACCAACTGTCATCGTTCCTGTTGGTGCTTTGGGACCAGGTGGTGGGCC